ACGACTCTGAACAGTTCTGAACAGTTACCGTAACACTACACGCCGTCTCATAACTGCTGCTGTTGCCATCACTGCTATCAATTAGTTCGGACATGGCAGGAGGTAAACAAATAATGGTAGTCTTTCAAAGAATACTGGCGAGTGCATGGGCTGTAAACGAAATGTGCTGCCTCAATAATTTCAAAAACTAGACACCCATGCGGCACGCTTGGAGGTGAAGTACAGAAGGCGAGTCGATCCGAGCGCTCACAGGACACCCCGCTCCTGATCAGACCACACGCACTCTCCTCGCTCTGCCTTGTCGCCTAGGGGGCATGGGTCTAATCAACCCGTGCGATCTCGCCAGCCAGTTGGATGACTCCAAGACCATCACGCAGCCATTGGTGGAGCGGATCATCGTGCAAAACACGGACCTAGGTGATGTTCACCACACCATGAAGGCAGAGAAGGCGAAGGTGCGCAGGATCCACTCCGTAAGGGAGAAGGAGACCCTAGTCGCTGTGGAAGAGAGCATCGCTTCGGACTTAAAGCGGTCCAGGGAGCTGGCGGCGGAGAAGGGTGCCTCGTCGTGGCTGACATGCAAACCACTGAAGATGTTTGGCTTCACGCTATCGAAGGGCGCATTTCACGATGCGGTTTCATTGCGATATGGCTGGCCTCTGAAGCGTTTGCCCTCTGCTTGCAGCTGTGGTAAATCATTCACCGTGGCCCATGCTCTCTCCTGCTCAACCGGCGGCTACCCTAGCCTCCGCCACAACGAGGTACGCGACCTCACAGCATCCATCATGAAGGAAGTTGCGCACCAAGTTGTGGTGGAACCGCTGCTAGAGCCGCTGACAGGTGAGAGGATGACGCTACGGTCAGCTTCAACTGAAGACAACGCCCGCCTAGACATCGGTGCCAGTGGAGTCTGGGGAGGTCGGTACGAGCGTTCGTACTTTGATGTCCGGGTTTTCAACCCCCACGCCCCCACCAACGCCAAGTTTGCCTTGCCCGCTGTGTACAAGCGACATGAGCAGGAGAAGCGTCGCCGCTACGAGGAACGGATCACCAACGTCGAGCACGCCTCCTTCTCACCAGTTGTCTTGTCCTGCACTGGAGGGTATGGCAAAGCTGCGACAGCACTCTATGCTCGGCTGGCATCGATGCTCGCCGACAAGAAGCAGGAGCCGTACGCTGCCACAATGTCCTACATCCGATGTAAGCTCAGCTTTGCCCTCATCCGTGCGGCTGTTGCCAGTCTGCGAGGCCATCGGCACCGCGTGCCCTCAGATGCAAATGACTCGGCCCGATTTGCGGTTGCCATGAGCAGCATCGGTTAAAGCTCCCTCCCGAGGCTCCGTACTAGACTGTTTTCACAGCCATTTTTGCTCTCAGCCTTTTTTTGCTCTCTCGACTGTTTTCACAGCCATTAATTTTTTGCTCTCTCGACTGTCTTCACAGCCATTTTTTGCTCGTTTTTCTGCCGGTGCTGTTGAGGTTGCACTCGTAATTGTGTTTATTTTGCCCGTATAAGAGGCTTGGCAGTAGTCGATCCGAGTATGACCTTTCGGACTGGACTGGACTGAACTATTCCAAACAACGAGGGGTCACGGGTGCGAGTCAACCCCTGTGACACGAATTTCTGTGCCGTGTCACCTCCCTAGTTTGAGTACGACTCCCTGGTCCGCAGGTGGCCGACTCGTTCCTCTCCGAACCTGGTGGGACAAACTGCACGACAGAGGGCCTGATTTCGGATACTTCCTCAACCCAGCAAAGTCCGTGCTCGTGGTGAAGCCTGACGACTACGATGAAGCTGTCCAGCTGTTCGACGGCACAGGCATCCACATCACCGCCACAGGCAACCGCTACCTGGGTTCAGCCATAGGCACACCTGCGTTTGTCGAAGACTACGTACACGAGAAAGCCCGGGACTGGTGTGGGCAGGTCGAATCACTGACATCAACCGCCCTGCCTCAGCCACAAGCAGCCTATTCTGCTTTCACCCGAGGCCTCTCCAGCCGCAGGTCTTTCCTCTGCCGGGTACTTGAAAGTGCGTCTGCTGGCCTTGCTTCACTGGAGCGGGTCATTGCCACGAAGCTCCTCCCAGCTCTCACAGGCCAGGAAATCAGCTCTGAGCTCCGCACCCTTTTCTCCTTCCCCTGCCGGAACGGTGGTCTAGGAATATTGGATCCCACCTCTCTGTCGGCCCAGTACCAATCATCGCGTGCCATCACTGCTCCTATGGTTGCCAACATCCTCACCCAGAGTTTTAACCTGGGAGACTCTTTGGCAGAGGTCGCCAGCCTGAAGGCCTCTAACCGCAAGGATGTGAAGGCAGCTGCCACGGAAGCCCTTCGCCAATTCACCGCCCGAGCCTCCTCTGCCCTCCAGCACTCCATCAACCTTGGCAGTGAGGCGGGTGCGTCCAGCTGGCTCACGTGTCGCCCCCTCAGTCGGCATGGGTTCAGCTTGTCGAAGTGTGAATTTCGCGATGGTCTTGCATTGCGGTATGGCTGGCACCCGGCACGGCTCCCTTCTACTTGTGTCTGTGGTGCCACCTTCTCTGTTGAGCATGCTCTCTCTTGCCCCACTGGTGGTTTCCCGACGCTTCGCCACAATGAGGTACGGGACATTATCGCTGGCCAACTGAAGAAGGTGGCACACAGCGTAGAAGTAGAGCTTCATCTCCAACCCGTCACCAGCGAGCTTTTCCGCTACCGGACGGCGTCCACCGAGGATCAAGCCCGTCTGGATGTGGCGGCGAGTGGCGTGTGGGGAGGACGGTTTGAACGCGTTTATCCTGATGTACGGGTGTTTAACCCATTCGCTCCTTCAAACCGTTCCTCTTCTCTCGCTGCTCGCTACCAGAGCCATGAGCGCGAGAAGCGTCGCAGGTATGGTCAGAGGGTGCAAGAAGTTGAGCGAGCCTCCTTTGTACCTGTTGTATTCTCAGCCACAGGTGGAGCCGGTCGAGCTGCTTCCGCTCTTCTCAAGCGAATTGCTGCTCTGTCTGCAGAGAAATCCGGAGAGCCATACGCAATGGTGATGGCGTTGCTGCGTTGTCGTCTTGGTTTTGGTCTCCTTCGTGCCAGTGTTACCTACCTTCGCGGTGCCCGGCGGATGCGCATCGTCAATGATCAGTCTGCTGTCCTCGCAAACGCGGAGGCTGCATTGATTTAACTTTCTTTGCAACTCCTGCAGTCTAAGTACTGAGTATCATTGTTATCTTGTGTGTGTGTGTGTGTGTGTATGTGTGTATGCGTGAGTCAACAGCTTTGATAAAGTTATTGGATTTTTTTATTCAAATGGTAGATCTACAGAAATTTTGAAAAAGGTATTCACTGTTTTTCTTCAATCAATAACCCTTGTACTAGTATTCATTCGATCATCATGTTGGAGGAAGAGGAGACCATGGGAGGTGTGGAGGTGGACGCAGTGGGTACATTATTATACATATGTACCCATATGCCCTCCAGATCAGAGTCCTCACAGTAAACACACGTGGTGACCTAAAAGTTGATCCGGACATGGCCTGACCAACCGGACCGGTTCCGCCGGGAGAGAGGTTCCGCCGGGCCTGAATTATTGCCGCATCTAGGAAGGATCGCTGCCTGCGAAGTGTTGAAGAAAGAAACCGTTGTTTCGCTACAATTAGTACAAAGTACAATCATGAATAATTATTGTAGTTGCTGGGCGAACCAGCTTACTCTTGTCTGTATCCAGAGCAAGCTCGAGTAGATCTACGGCAGCAGCACTGCCTACAAAGCTGTAGTACAACTACATTTTTGTAGTATAGTGTAGACTGTAGCCTAGGCTAGTGTAGCTAGCTATGCCTACGCTGCGCTGCCCGTCGTCACTTGAGGAACAGATCAGAATGAATAGCGAATGAATACAGTGGAACCTGTCTAAGACGACCGCTCAAGGGACATTCAAAATGTGGTCTCCATTGCCTGGTGGTCTCCTTATCCAGGGTCATTTGACTCGAAATCAGGGAGCCCTACGCGGTATGCATGGTATGTGTAGGCCTCCCTGCTGGAAATAGCATCCCTCGGTCATGGTAGCAGCGGTCTTCTGGGGCAGGTGGTCGCCTTATCCGAGTGGTCGCCTTCACAGGTTTTACTGTATGCAGGTTGACCTTTTGAACTGAACTTTGACCCGTCCAACATGTAGCTGCATGGCTTGTGCCTGAAGTTGTGGACAGCCTAGCCTCAACAAAACCATCGAGGAGGATAGGAGCTCAGCAACTACTCTTCGCACTCCCCTCTGGCATATGTCCTCATCTTCCTATTTCTCTCTGATTGTTACTTCGTTCGAACTTGACTTGTAATTAGTGAGGTTTTGCATTCCGAATTTCGGTTCGGCGTTCTTCGGTCATTTGTCGAACATCAAAATGTCGAATTTTCGCACCAACGTTTGTTTTGCAAGTCGAAAATGATGTGTTTTCATTTCGTGAGCCCCAGCATCAGCAACGTCCGGTCCCGTGCTCCTTTTCTTGCTTATTCCAACGAACTTTGATCGCCCAAAGAGTCGAGGGCCAAACCTGCCTCCTCAGTCGCCTCAGAAAAACCAACTCCATGGCCAAGTCAAATGTTATGCGTGTCGCCATAGTCTTTTCAGCCACACAGATGACGGTGAGAACACTCCAGGCGAAAGAGAGTCGACAGGCAGTGGAGAGGAGCAATCAGAGGTAGCTGACGATGCTATGTCGCCAAAGACGCCTGCCAAGCGATGCCGAGATAAGAAACCTCTTTGAATAAATCACTCGCTAGCCCTCTTCTACAAGAAAATGCATCCGAAAAATATTTTCGGCAAAGTGAGCTTTTTCCGAACAAACACTCCGAATCTTCGTGTGCATTTTCGACCTCGCTCCCGCGTGCCGAATCTTTTTGCCGAATTTCGGAATGCAAAACCTCACTATTACCGGTACAAATACTTCCTATTGACTGGTTTCTCATTTTCTCAAGTGCAGCTTTATCGAGCTACACTTTTTATTCTATCGCCATCATAATAATTAATATTGGGCATCAATGCCCGTTTGGTTTGCGATGTAAAATAAAACTTCAAACAAAAAAACTCCCGAGAAAAACACTTGACCTGTCGAAGAAGGAGTTGAAGATCTTATCCTCCCATGGTTAGGCAGTGAGCTGTCTTCGTGCCCATGTTGGTGTGCGATGTTTTTTTATTGTTCATACTTATAGTGTAGGACGGGGAAGGATCATACCTCGGACCTACATGCAGCTGGATTTCTCTGACGAGCTAGGGCCGGCAGCAGATCAGTGTCAGTGACGGCACAGCAGCCGGCACAGTGGTCATGACGGCACAAGGTCTGACGGTGCCGGAGCATCACCAGCAGCCACACTCGCCCGCACTGTGCCTGCCCAGTGTTCGCCTCCCGAGTCTTTGCCTGCAGTGCGCCGTGCAGCGCCTGGAGGGCGCATGCGAGCCAGTGGCGCTGCGGAAGTTCATTGTCGGCGAGCTCACGGCCATTATTGAAGGCGACGGCCAGGAGTTCCTCAGCGTGGTCCGGTGTGACACGAGTTTCCTCGAGCGCTTCCTATTTGCCATAGCAAGTAAGTTTCTTGTTGTCACCGGTGACTGTGCAGTACTAGTACCTGTACCTAAATTTCTTTCCCATCTGTCGCTCACCTACTGTTCGTGTGGTGCCGTGTGAAGTAATCAAAATAATGCGCATTTAGAGGGTAATGGCTTTCTCCGTTCATTTCAATTCAGCAGAGGCATGCGTCAGGCGAAATAGCACGTCATCGTACATTTGAGATCGGCGGGAAGAAGATGACGACGTCCACTAATTTAGTATCTGTGCACACGAATCTGCTGTGTGTGTGACTCTGTGTGTCAGCTATGATATCATCTTCTGTGGTTCCATGCCTAGCATGTACGTCTGAACCATCCTGCAAAGTTTGAATGACGTAGGTTGAGCGATCGCTCCGCGAAATATACTTTTTGAAATTCTCTTCATAGTATATCTTCCACCATTGAAATTTCGAATTTCTTCAAAAAAAGTGCTGAGAGGGGTGGCTTGCAACCTTGATATGGTTTGTTCCAGGCATGCTTTGGAGCCATCTTCTGTTGAAGTAGTGGCGGGGATCTGCCCTGCAACTGCTACAACAAAAAATGATTCGATCTGAGAAAGGGTGAGACCGCGAATCTCGGTTGAATATTGAGTATTTCAAGCCTTTTCACGACGAAGATGGAGTTCTTTTTGGAGATGGACGTCGCGGCAAAGGACATGGTGTCCGACGTCTGGCGTCTGGTGAAGCCAGGGATCATTTGTCCAGTCAGGTCGGCAGCCTAACCGTCGGTAAGCTTGTGTTTGGACCCGTTCTGCTCGATGTGGTAGATCACAAACAATTTGATATCGCACAAATTGATCTCAGCATCGTGCGTACGGTATTTTATATTCAGAAAATCCCAAAGTGTCTCTGTGTGGCCGTCCTATGCCACGAGAAACTCCAATCAGGCTCCTATGTCCTCTGCCTTCATGATTGAATGTCCACTTCGTTTGAACAACGAACACAACAATCGAGGACGGCTTTGCAATGAAAAATACAGCTATACTGGAGCTGAAAAAAAGAAGAAAAAAACGTGCTCAGGATGAGACTCGAGTACACGCATACTCTCCCAGCAGGTGAAACGCAAATTTTTGTGAAAAATGCGTGACGCCGACTGACCAGTAATTTCGCCTGACGGTACAAAATGGCCAGTGCCTATTGTGTGGGTGGGTGTATATGATGGGGGGGGGGGACCAAACGTAGGGATGCTTTGGTTTTCGGATTGAAAGTGAGTAACAGACTTGCTTATTCAGACAAACCCCCCCCCCCCCCCCCCGAGGTACTCTGCCCAGCTGTTTCCGGATGGGAGAGGTAAAATTGCTGACCATGGTAATGAGGTGCAGTCGCAGTAAATGTCAACTATTCCGACCTTCAGGACCCGGAGGTGCTGTAGAGACTTCTTGTTTCAATGACCTCGGGCAGGGAGTCGTAGTGTCTGGCCGTTCCTGTTGCCCATGACGCAGTGCCGATGTACACACTCTCGCGTATGCAGGGCCGGCGCCACTGGTTCGGCCGGTACGGCCATGGCCGTACCAACTTCCCAAAAAATTCGGTCCACGTGGAACGTCCAAAACCGAGGAGAAAAAGTTTCGATGTATGATTTTTACAGGGAGTCGCCCAGAGTGCAGGATTTGCCGTCTAAATTCCAAAAAAATTCTGGGGGACGGCCCCCAGACCCCCTTAACCCTTTCACCACTGTCGACGTATATATACGTCATGACGTGTGCACCTGCCCCACTGACGACGTATATATACGTCCGCAGTGTACGTCGCGTTTGTACTGATGCCTCAACATCAGTGGGGCCTGGAACTGTTCCTCAGTGGGCTGAAGGCCCTGATCGACGTGTACGCGGCGTATGTGGCCAGTCTGCACAGCAGAACAGCCGCGAGCATGCATCGAGTTTGAAGTGCGTATTTTGGCATATCGTTCAAATAAATTGTTTTGCTCAAAGTTCGTTTTCGTCATCTTGCCCTGCTGTTTCTCGGTAAGGTAAGTAGCTCAACTACTCTGTGTCGATGGAAGGAGTCCTGTGAAGCAGTGTGAGGCGGGTAATGACTCTGAGGATGATTCTGGAGACAGCGAAATTGTGTCGGAGTCGTTTTCTGAGGATTATGAATTTGCTGCTATTCAAAAGATCGCAGCTGACTCGGACGCAGGGGATGCTGGAGACCAAAGAGATTTGGAAAGCGATGCTGAAGTCTCTGACACCTAGGCATGGTGTTCTGAGCAGGAGCTGTCTGTCGTGAGCCCGTTTGCTGAAGTTTCTCAACTAAACTTTTGCTGGCTTATCTCGCCGCTCTCCACCATGGTCAACATAGTGATACATTTCACCCCGCTGATGCATTATTTTCTTCCGATTATCATCTTCTTTCCTTCATTTTTTTCTTCTCTTGCCATGGCTGGCTAATGCCCCCTCCTTTGCATTGGCTTCTGCCATTGGACGGTGAAATAAATAATAAATAATAATAAAACTGCGATCAAATTTGAAGGTCAGATTTTTGAAAATATTTGAATTTGAAGTCAAGTGTACTGGTCAGACATACATGCAGATCACAATAGAGATGTACATACATGTAAGTATTGTATGTTGAGTACATAGCCAGGCACCTACAGGATGGAGATTGCTATCTAATATGAATCCAGAATAATCCAGAATAGTCAACAATTGTGCAATTTTGAACCACTATCAGAAATTGCGCAGCCGATTGTTTCTTGAATTTTCATGCGTACGTACACCGGTACGCAGTATGCACTCGGCTGTTTAGGGAATGCTTCAGACTATTTTCATAGCTGGATTGTCTTGCCAGTGAGTGTCTAAATCAGAGAATGAGCAGTGTTGCATTCTCCATCAATATAACTTTACCTGTGCCGCGTACGTACGTACGCGTGTGGCCAGAGATGAATCACCCTGGGATGCGCCGAGCACAGTGAGCCAACCGCTGCCACTGCACCGGCTGCTATTATAGCTGATGCAGTTGCTGTGGTTGCTACTCCAGTTACTCGGCATCCTCACTGTCCATCACATGGTTTTGTCTTGAAGTAGGTAGGGCTGCTGGAGGATTCAAGCTTTACGAGACGCCCAAGAAAAAGAAAGACCCATTCTGGATCGCGAAGTCGCATATGATGCAAGCGCGGTATAAAACGAGTTGCTGTACTCTAGTCTAGGTTGCCGTAGAACACCAGGATCATATCCAGCATGTTTATATGACATTTCTCCATTCTGAAGTCAACACTGGCCAGTTATAGCACTGCTTGCCATTGCTTGTCTGATCTTTGTCGTCAATTGCCTAAATTGATTGAATTTTGAGGAAAAATCGCCAAAAGTCGCATATCTAAATATGGTGTTACGAGTCTCGTACAATGAAATCCTGCAAAATTTCTTTGGATTCACAGTGCATATGTCCATACCCAACATCTCCAATCAATTTTGGACCAGAATATGCATTTTCAAAAATTGCCATTTTTGGCCCAGTGGGAGGTGATTTTCCGGTCAGGGCTGAAAGGGTTAAAGATGGCCCTTCGGCCGCTCCGCGGGAGCGGCCTCCGGCCCTGGTATGGCAATGCCGATGCACACACTCTCGCGTATGCAGGGCCGGCGCCACTGGTTCGGCCGGTACGGCCATGGCCGTACCAACTTCCCAAAAAGTCGGTCCACGTGGAACGTCCAAAACCGAGGAGAAAAAGTTTCGATGTATGTTTTTTACAGGGAGTCGCCCAGAGTGCAGGATTTGCCGTCTAAATTCCAAAAAAATTCTGCGGGGACAACCCCCAGACCCCCCTTAAAGATAGCCCTTCGCCCGCACCGCCTCCGGCCGTGGTATGGCATTGCTGGCCTGGACTGTGTGGTCAGCGGGTCAAGGCAGCGGTTGGGAGGTGCATTTTCTACACGAACCACACAGCGCTTCCGAATCCGGAGGCGAAATCCCCCCCCCCCCCCGAGTGCTGTGAACTTGAGTTGCCTCCCCAGATGCTGCAACTCCCTGAGCTTGACATGGTGAGGGCGAGGCGCATATCCCCTGTCCCGAGCCTCCTTTGCCTGCTTTACCCGGGACCGCTGGAAGTAATAATGATTGACCCAGTCATACTGCCACAGTCATTCATATTTTGTGTGTGTATAATATGGTAGGTGAACATCACCTCCTCGGCAGCGTACATGCGCCAAAAAGTTGGTCCGATGATGACGTGACCGCCCGGACCAGTCACAGCGGGCCTGTAACCAACTGCGCTGGCACGGTGCTGCATGTTTGATACCTTTGACAGTTTGGTGGTGTGAAGTCTGTTTGTTCTCAACGACACAGATACTTGCTGTTTCAACAGCATTGTTCTGTGTGGGTTGTTTGCACAGAGCAGCTTCACTCGGAGAATGAACAGCTCCAAGAGCTTGCCATATCAGGTGAGAGCGTCCTGCATTCTACAGAGCTGCTATGCCATGCCATACCTTGCCATGTCTGTCTAAACAAGTTAGGAACTACTGTCTTGGACATGGAAATCCGGTCGAATGAACGGGGCCGGCGCCCTCAGCGCGTACAGAACGTTGCATGCAGTGCACATGTTGATCCGATGTGACCAGCGCACTGCAGCGCATAAATAAATGTGTGTACCGCTTACTCACGGCTGCATGGCCAGCGCCCTGGGGCCGCTAGACGTGTGACCGGATTTCTACCGGATTTCCGCGCATATAACGCCATGGCGTTATAGGTGAAACATCGCTGTTTTGGACCAAATTTTTGGAGAAAATAGCCTCGGTTTTAACGCCATGGCGATAAAAGTGAGAGACGCGTACATGCAAAAATCGGCAGAGTATGAACTTCAAGTACTCGTACGGTGCCGTTGCACGTTCATGTCCAGCATCCATGTACTTCAATTTCCCTGAAAATTTCAAAATGTGAACCTATTCAGGCTATTGTGTACAAGGTGGCATGGAAACTTGTGTGAAGGTGCGGTGGCGGTATGGCATGTGACAGTGGGGATGGGTACATGCAGAGAGAATCACCGCTACTGTACGTTCACTGAAAGAATTGAACTCACCTTTAATTAACGCCAAATGCAACTTCCTCCACATTGAATTTTGTTCACTTATAACGCCATGGCTTTATATGCGCGGAAATACGGTATGTCCACGACTGTAGGTAGGTTCCGTATTGCACTGCTACTCTCCTTCTCAAAAGGGACTGGTTGTTAAGAAATGTCGTTG